CATAGCCCTTGACAGACAGCACTTTATCTATATGCTAAAAGTGGCCGTCAGCTGTGGCTCCTCCCGTTTTCCATGCAAGGATTCTTTGCAAATTTTGTGGAGTTCAGCAAGCAATCAGTAGCACGACCGAGGAAGTTGCTGTGTCCCAGAAACTTCAGGTTAAATACACTCTTGGGAGGGCGTGCACACACCCAGCACGCCCCGCTTCCCACAGTCCTGGGCTCTATCCTTGTCTTTCTCATTCAGGTTGTTGGTTTGCTTTCGAAAAATAGCTTGTATTTTTCCAATGTATCAGTAAATATCCAGAAGTACATAATGTCCACCAAGTACTATACTAGGACCATAAAGAATTCATAGAACAATAAAAGTCTGTGTTGTTAGAGAACCCATAGTCTGTTATTATTAATTGATTCTTTTAACACAAATGTAAAGGTGAACAGATAGGATTTTGCCTTCAAGAATTTCACTGTGAGCTAGATGTGGTTGGCACACCTGTCGTCCCAGTTCTCTGGGAGGCTGAGGCAAGAGGATCCCAAGTGGGAACCCAACCTGGGGCAGCTTAGCAACTTAGCAAGACCCTGTCTCAAAGAATTGTTTTAAGAAGAGGGCGGAGATATAGCTCAGTGTGGAGGCCCTAGGTTCAATCTCCAGTACCACAAAAGAAAAGAAAGAAAAACAGAAAGCAAGCAAGGAAGGAAAAAATGAAGGAGAAGGAGAGGGAAGGGAAGAGAAATGAGAAAGAGAAGGGGAGATCAAAGGGGGGAAAAGGAGAAGAAAAGACAGATTCACAGCCTTTGATACAGTGGTGGCAGCTGAGCAGGGAAGACCGTGGGCAGCTGGCTGACTTCTGTAGATGCAGTAGAAGTTCTACTGGGGCACATGGCCTGTGGCCTTAGGGAGGACTGGCTGGAAGATGACGGCATTCATAATTCAGGGGCCAGTGGTCCCTTCCAAGGACTGGAGTGACCTGGAAAGTCTCTGCACGGAAAACAAAAGTGTCTGTATGCTGTGAACTAGGTGAGGAGGCCCCGCCTGCATTTGAGGGGCACAGAGAATGTGGTGCGTCTTAACCCACGGCAGCAGTGAGACAGGAGAAGAGAGAGACCACCCATCGCCATGCTTCAAAGATCTTGGGAGCCAGGCTAAGGAGCAAGTTTTTCTTCCCATCCCTGCCACTGTCTCATCCTTCCTCCATGCCCTGGACTCAGTTTCCTCATGCAAGAAGTGGGCTGGTTCTTCTGCCTTCTTCACCCATCCGTGTGTCAGCTGCATTAACTTTCAATTGTGATGGGAGAATAAAGGGCTGTAATGACCATCATGACTGTTATTCGTGTGTTGATTTATGGCAACAGAAGCAGTATTTTCCAAGCTTTTTTCTCACAGTGTGGAAGGAAGAGACAGGTTGAGAAGGTGGCATGGATGCAGCTGAGAGCCATTGGGATTTGGAGAAAGGGTTTTCAAGGAAAGAAAGGATGCTCACCCAGGTCTCTGAATCCTCGGATCAGGAAATGACTGGGCGGTTACCGCTGAGAAGCTGTGGTTGCCGTGCAGTGCGGTTGTTTCTCAGACTCGACCTGCAGAGGCACCAGCAGGCCATTGACCCCCTTCCCAGCTGTGGTGTGGGGCAAGTGTGCAGGCTTCTTCCTAGAAATCTAGACTCGCTTGACCTGGGCTCCCCAGCCAAGTACTGCCCGTGAGATGTGAATTGCAGACATTGAAATATCGCACTTTGTTGAATGCTTATCTTCACATGTTCCATGGGGCTTGCAAAACAGCCCCTGTCTTGTATTTCCAGTGTCAGGGCTGTGTCTCTGTTGAAAAATTCTCACTCTCCAGGGTGGGTCACAGGCTGCAGCAGGCCCTGTGGTGGCCGAGCACCTGTGTGACCACCCCCCCAACAGCCTCAGCACACAAGAACAAAGGACCCGGGATCTTGACTTAGCGCCCATCCTACTTTGTTTCATTTGCTTCATTTTTAATTGCCTTGATATCATTTTACTTAATCTGGAAGGTTTTTTTAATGAGCTAGAGTGATCTAATTGGGCCTGAATGTGATTTCCTTGTTGCAGTGTTTCTCAGTGTGTGAATACTGAATAGCAAAGTCTTTCTTAGTCCTCAGAATCCTGCTCTTTTTCCAAAGATAATCTGTTGGCCATTGGGTCTGTCTCCATCCTAAATGTTGTTTAACATATTTGCATTTGTGTCCACAGACACAGAAGCTGTCTTACTAAGTTCTTCCTCCCAACATTCAAAATGGTCCCAACCATGAGCAAACAAAACACACAGCAAGAGGTATTTGAGCATTAAAACATGAAAAGAAGAGGAACGTTAACATTGCCCTCCATTCTTCTGACTTCCTGTTATTTCTTCCTGTAGCCTCTTCATTTATTTACTTCTGGACCCTTCCTCTTCCTTATCCACATTATCATCTTTACTTTCTGCAAGTGATTGTTCAGCCAACTGGAGGCTGAGCAGTGCTCCCAGGATCATGTCCTAAAAACACAGTGGAGTCCCTGCCATGGGACAGGGCAACCCTGTGTCCCTCTCAGCCCCATCCTGCGGGCCCTAAGAATCCACCGATGGGGGAGAGGGGTCAGCAGCTCAGAGGAGCAGGGATGCCCTGGGAAGTCCTGCTCCCTTTGACCACCGGGAACCCCAAGTTTGATCACTGAAATGCACATGAGAACTCTTGAAAGAGCCGGTGCCTGGCCCAAACAATACCGAGTTCAAGAGTCCTCCAGACTCACTTCCCGAGCCTCCCCCCCCCCGGGAACTGCATGTCATCTCCAGTGACTGGGGCGTCACCTCTCTTTCCTGTGCGCACATGTGTGACAAGCAGACTGACAGGCAGTTGTCTGGCTCTGATCACTTCTTGCTACAAGCATCCGGGAAGAGTCACAGTCAAAACACACCTCCTAACCAATCTCACAGAGAGCTTTTTGGAAAAATAAAAAAAGCAATTCCCCTGGTAGTTAATCCTACAGACGTGCTTAAGGTCACCAAACAAGCACAGATATGCACTGTTTCTGCAAAATTTAGCTAAACCAAAGGTCTTTTTAGCAATAAGAAATCTGAAGGAGCCAGAATGGCAGGGTCACATGCACACAACCAGAAGTGCTACCTGCCTGTCCCTGTCCCCTGAGCCCCTTCTTTCTGCTCTGGGGCCAGGGGATAGGGGACAGTCTGTAGAGTTAATAACACCTGATTAAAAGAACCATGATCTTATTTCACAGTCAATAATATCAAGTTTATACACGAATTGCCTTCATATAATCTGATTGAGAAGGCAAGGGCCAGTTCCAGAAAGTTCAAGGAGGCCAGATTGTGGGGAATATCAACTAAGCACAACTTCACCTCCACCAGGCTTTGTCCTGGAAACGAGCAGCAGGGAGGGGTGGAATCAGCACATGCGCACTGGCCCCCATCTGTGTCCTGCTAGACCTCAGGCTCTGGATTCTGAGCACTAGTGGTCAGTGTGCAAGGTGGGACAGAGAAGAGATTGTTGTCCTGCCTCCAGGTGCAATGCAGGAAGAATGACTAACAGGAGCGTCGGGGGTGTGTGGTGTTGGCATGTGAAAATTAAGTGTACAAATCAGCTGTAAATAAACAGAGCTGTGTGTATGTGTGCACATGTGTGTGTGTGTGAGTGTTCAGTATTGGTAGACAAGAAAAGGATACAAAACCAGCCCTCCGGTTTAAGTACTTATGCAATGCTGTAAAGAAAATTCCAAATCATAATCTTGATTACAACCTTAGTACATTTAAAAACGTTACAAAATGACCCCACTCTCATGATCCTAGACTGACATAGAACAAGTACACTGGATTCTGTTCACATCTTCAACCTTGACTTTGCAGGACGATTTAAAAATCCCCCCTAGTTCCCTGTACACATTTCCGGATTATTCTATCCTTTATGTGTCTGTTTCGGGACATTCTTATTAGGGGGAACAATGAAATCGGTTCTGCTCATACTGCAAGTGCTGCCAGTGTGTTTCTGGGAAATCGCGCGTTAGCCTGTCTCCATCCCCACTTGCTAAGCACACTGCACAGTGTCTCTGCTGCGGGGGCGGTGGGGGGGGCTCTGCAAGAAGAGAAGTTGAGGACGAGATCTTTTAGAGGATTTATGGTGAGGCTGCTGCGTGTGGCTGATGGTAAGCAGCGTGGAGAGCCCCTGAGGGTCTCTTCATTCCCAGACACACTTCGCTGCTGCCCATTAACACCTCCGCTGTTATTGCCACAGACTGGATCTAATGAGCTTCCGAATGTGGAGGTTTGCATTAGAAACAAAAGCTTGCACCACAGAGGCACCTAGCTCCCTGGCTTCCTGATTTTCTAGTTCATTTTTAAAACAATGAATTCTCTCTTTGACAGTATTCTTTGCAATAATCTGCATGTTTGCTTTTCGGATTAGGCAAATCGGTAGCTTTGAATGTGAAGACAGTATCACAGTCAATTTTGATAGAAAGTTGATAAATAAATTCTAAATTTCCACTCACAAAGACAATTTCTCATGTTCTGCTACGATAAAAGGGAGCTGACATTTGGAAGTGCCCTTGGCATCCATAGGCTATACTTTGTTATGAATTAAATTACATTTTTTCCCAAGAAATAGTTAAACATATTCCTCACTTATTACATTGTTTCCTAATTGCATCAAACTATGGAAGAAGGCAATAATTGTACAAATTGGCTGGTAATTGGTCAATCTAAATATTAAGTGCACTTAGTTTTACCTTCAAACCCAGACATGTATTTAAAACTGTTAAAGAGCTTAGATTTCAAAGTAAATTAACTAAATGTTTAAAGGCAGTTTCTTCTTATCCATTAGAAGCTTTCAAATCAAGGATCCCAGTGCAAAGTGATTCGCACATCTTTTTAATGTGTGGTTACCTGTCTTTAAGCATAAGCCTTTGTTGGAAGAGTAGGAGGGAAAAGGAGAGAAGGCGCCCAGTCTCCTCTTCAGTTAGTTACCATGTCCTTCTTGTTCTGCCCTTCAGAAGATGCACTTGAAGGAGAACTGGTGAGATCCATCCAGAGGCATCAGCAGACCCCGCGGAGGAAGGCGCGGCACAGTCCCCGGGAGCACCCAGCGGGCACCTCCAGAGAGCTCAGGTACACCTAGGCCAGCACCCTGCCCTGGGAACTGGGGACCACAGTCGGTTCCATGTTGCTTTTTTATTTGCTGCTCGGGGTAACTGCTCTTCAGCGCCTGGTGTTTTGTGGATTCTGGGAGGCAGTAAAAGGCGGCCGAACATCCTCTCCCCCCAGACCGTGCGCGCTAAAGAGGAGCCATTTGCAGTTAAATTAGATGATGCATATATTGTTCTCACTACTAAAGGGATATAGGGCAGGGATGACAGGCGTGTCCCTGTGGTCGCTATGAGGAGTCCTGGGGTGGCTGATGGTGAGAAGATGCGAACACTAACCCTCAGATGAAGTGTTGCTTTTAGACTTGTTGCAGACAGAATCCATGCTCCTAGAAGAAGCAGCTGGTTATTCACACTCACAAATTATGGTTGGGAGGAATGGGGGTGGTGAAGGCTGGCACATGACAGGCAATCGCTGCCTGGCAGCACATGTTTTCAGGGCTGGAGGACGATGTGCTTGTGATGAGGCCCAAACCTTGCCAAGTTCAGCTTCTAAATGCGTGTGTGAAAGTGAGTCAGAGGTCTGGTGTTACCCTCCCCACATTCAGTGAGTACATTTTACACAATCCGTGCCCACATTCAGGAGTACATTTTACACATGATCCTTCCCTGGAGGAAAAGAAAACAGAATTCCTAAGCCACGGTAATTTCTCAAAATGCCCTATAAGGAAAACTCTGCCCTGCATCTTAAGGTTCACTGCGCACTCGTAATTTGTCTGTCTGCCGACTTCCCCATTTGCCTGTCTGATAATACAGCAGCATCCTACTCCCCGGAAATCAAGACCCAGCATAGTCTCCCATCTGCTGTAGCTCTGGGGGTGCTGCCGTCTTTAAGAGCTTTATGAACTGCTGTAATAGGTCACAGTTGTTCTCATTATTTTCTCGTCTACACCCTACTCATTTCCCCTGAAGAAACCCACTGCATTCATTGGTTGGGTTTCAGGAAAGCATTATGTTTAATTGTACATTTCCCTGCAGTTAAAAAAAAAAACAGGAAAACAAAAGAACCTGCTCACATTGAGTATTAACCCTTGCTTAGTTTTCAGGTCAGTTCATTTCTGAAGTTTAGGTGTTTTGTACATATAGGCAATCTTGTTCTGTCTGACCTGGTTGAGTTTTAGGAATGAAAATGTTTAATGAAATATTTCATGTGAGTCTAATTTTTAAAGGTAACTTTATTGAATTAGCACTTCTGAGGCCAACTGATCATATTTAAATGAGGAGTCTCGATGTGATTTAATGTAAAGCATTTGGATACAAACCTTGCCACAGATTAAACAAAGCAACAGAAAAGAAATAAAAGCTAATTTCGGACAAAGTTGGCATTGACCCTGCTCCTTTGTGGGGGCTTCTGATAAGGTTCTGAGATACTTGTGTCTTCCTACCTTGAACTTGTGACTTCCAGCTGCCTGGCCACTGCTGTGGCCTCACGTGATCATGGCCAGCTTGGTGTGGGGTAAGGTGACCGCATAGCCTCTGTGATCCCGGAAGTCCTAACAGAAAATCCCAGCAGGAAGTGGAGGCAGTGCTTGCAGTTCACGTGGATAATGTCACTGGGTTCTCACGGTGACATGTCCCTGTCAGGGCTGCAGTAATGTGATGGTCAGCAGAAGACGGGGGACACTTCGGTTCACAGTCTGTGTCTCCGGGAAAGCCCAGCCCCATTCTCATTCTTCAAGGGTTAGCATTTGGCCCTCAGGGGATGATCAATGTTTATTTTCAGTATGTGTGTCATAAATATATCAGTCCATGGGTGATGAAATTACAGTCAAAATGCTAAGTTGAAATTAATATGCTAGTGTTACAAAATGCCAATGTATAGTTATATTAATGAGAAGACAGTGCTATAGCATTAACTTCTAGGAATAAAGTAAATCTTCACATGATCATCTATACAATGGCAACTTGTGAATCATCGTATAGTGTAGATCTGGGTGGGCGGGTTAGAAAGGACCAGTTCTACAATTTTCTCCTAAATGCCCCCTCTAAATCAGTGTGTTGGAGATGTGGTCCCCAGACCATGGTGCTATGGAAGGTGGTGGAACCTTCAGGAGGTTGGGACTGGTGAGATGTCTCCAGACCCCTGGGGCATGGCCCTCCTCTTCCTGTTCACATCCTGGCTGTGAGGAGAGTGGGCACTCTCTGCCATGTTTCACCATAATGTGCTACCTCACCACAGGCCAAATCGATCATGGGCTAGAGCCTCCAAAACTGAGCTGAAATAAACCTTTCCTTTTTATAGTTGCTTTATAAGTCCTCTTTATAATTACCTTATCACATAGGGTATTTGTTGTAGATATAGAGTGAATTGACACAACCAGATTCTGTCCACGGGGTCTCTGTACCAAAGACTCATGACTGCCATAATTATGGGAAATGAGCCAACAATATGAGCAGATGCACAATGCATTTCAATAAGGCTTTATTTACAAAATGGGCAGCTAGTTGCTTTGGTTCATAGGTCCAAGTTTGCCAACCCATGTTGAAGGTCTAAATTCAGAGTTCCTAAATAGCCACAAGTACTTTTGGAAGGAAGACTATGCCCCTTACTCTTGCAGATTTTAACACTGACAGACTGTGATGGCTAACCTTAATCATGTTGTCTTGATTGGCTTTGGATCTACCAGGGAACTGGTGGTGCACACTTCTGGGTATGCCATGGCAGGTCATGGATTTGTGACCTTAGGTCTGTGTCTGGCCCCTCCCATTCCTTTCTGGTGCTGTTCCCATGCTCTGCTTCCTGACTACCATGAACTAAGCAACTTTGCTCCCCCACACCCTTCCACCGTGATATTAGTGCCTCAGAGCCAGCTGACCATAGACTGAATCCCCTGAAACCGTGAGCCATATTAAACTTTCCTCTTTACCTTGTGGATATTAGGTATTGTGCCCCAGTAACAGGAAACTGACTAATACACATGTATACCTTAAGCCAGACACCCTCACTAGTCTCTGGACTTACACCTATTTTCCCAAATGCTCTGTAAGCATAAAACAAAAAAATAACAATACTGAGATTAAAATATCAGGCACAAAAGAAAATACTTTCAAATCACAACAGATTACACAGCAGAAACTTAATGGAGAAGTTAACTTTAGAAAAGACTAAGGATGCCAAGGGTTATTTTTAAAGGGCAACTTTATGAATGTTGCAAATGCTTTATCTTATTTAGGATGTGAATTTGTAGCAGACTTCATTAGTCAAATGGTGCATCAGTTGACTTTCTCCACTGACAGTGTTGTCCAAGACTAGAAGGGCTCCACCTGGTCAGATGGTTTCAGAGTGAATCAATCCGAGGGCAAGGTGCTTGGAGAAGCCCTGCAGAGAGTAGTTCTAGAGTATCATCCTGGAAGCTCAGGGAAGGATAGCCCATTGGTCCCTCAACTAGTTTAATATCAAGCCGAAATGTGGGCACAAGGTAGAAGCTGCAAGAACAGGGAATAGATCCCAGTTCTACCACATCATTGCGTGTCTAGGGAGAAGTCACTTGTCTCTTAGAATCTGAGCATCAGTATCCCCTCCAGCTAATGGCTGTAAGAACTTCATCTTAATAAGACTATTGCAAGGATTAAGAGAGATAAAGTACAGAAAGCCCTAATTTAGTCCTTGAAACACAGAATTGGGTTAGAATTTAAAACAGGGATGGGATGGAAGTGTGCATTCTCATTCAGATTGAAGCTGACCTGGTAGGTTGGCACCGTGTAGAACGAATGCATGGTTCTCGGGACAGCCCAGGGCTGAGAGCAGAGATCTTTGGTGCAACTTATTTCCAAGACTTCTCAGAAGAAGGAACTCTTGGCAAAGAGAACTGGCAGCCAGCTGATACCCCAGCATCAGCCTCTGTGCCCTGGGAAAGATGCTCAGCCATGAGTGTTCCCTCCTAGCCACTAACCCTCCCAGCACTCTTTATGTCCCCGCCTCTGTCCTAGGTGGGCACCTGCCATGTGGTATCTCAGCAGGAGTGGATACATGGATTTTCTGAGAGAAGGCTTGGTATTGAGAGTTTATAATCTGTGAAGGGACCACTTACAAATGTTATTTGGTGTGAAAGACAGAATCTGGGACTTTCTGCATTGTACCCCCAATGTTTACATAATAAATATATGTACTCCAGGTCAGAGATGGTAGGAAGACATGCTTTTCAGTTCCTACTATTATGTGTTACCTGACTTTCTTGGGAGCGCACATGTGTTACTTCTTCAAGAGGACCACCGTGCATCCTCATGTCCCTCACCCAGCACATTCTGGAGTTCCCATGCCCACCCTTAGCTTGGCCCCACAGGCTTTCATGGGGTGCCAGACTCCTAAGTCTACACTGGGTAACCCTACTGATTTCTTAGAGTTCCCTGTGTTCTTGAGAGTTTCTGATAAATAGATTCTTCTGGCTGCAAGTCCAGGGAGAAGATTTCAACTGTAACTAAATGAAATAAATGCTTATTTTTCCTTCTTAATTAAAAGCATTGTTAAGTAAATTATTCCAGATGTCATTCACGTACAAAAGTGCATTCCATGCACTTATATAATAACATTTTTGAGTCAGCTATTTCAAGCAGTAATCACAATATACAGTGATTATTTTTAAAATTTTGTTACAGTAAAAGACAAGTTGCCATGAATCCCCCTCAAATTCCTTTGCCTTGCTTTGAGCACACTTAACCAATCATCCTTTCTGAAGCAGCTCTCAAAACTCTCTTTCCTTAGTGTCTTTATAAGGCGAGAGCAATAATATGGTGAAAGGTGCTGCTGAGTGCCATCCAATGGAAAGACAATTTCATAAACACATGACACTGTGACCTCATCCACCTTAGTCACTGACCTGGTACCATGCAGCTTCTGGCTCTTCCCCAAAGTCACAATGACCGTGAAAGGGAGACGTTTTGAATCCATTCAGGACATCAAGGCAGCCAGGACAGCGCAGCTAAAGACCCTCAGGATAGAGGACTCCAGAGCTGCTGCAGGAAGTG